AATTCAAAAAACAGCATCCTTGATATTGCTTAATTCTAGGTATGCATGCATAATAGCTATAAATTCATATATTGTATATATGTAAAACTCAACGGGTTTAATTTATATATGAAAGGATCTGCATAAATTTAGCCAATCATTTTTTGTTTTGATTCTTTTTTAGAATTACACAATGAATCTAGAATGTTAATCATTACAGTATTTGGAAATTCCAAATTTGGAAATCTCCTTGACTGTATTAAAAAAAGGTAAACAATTATTTTGTTAACGATAAATTTTGATCTGCGCATTATTTTTTTTTTGATGGTGGCAATAAATTAATGTTTATACATTATCCTCTTTTTTTTCAACAGTATCTTTTCATTTTCAAAAAAGACTTGGTTAATTTCTTTAACAACAAAGAAGGCTGATTTTTTTGGCAGTGGAAAGTATTCACGTTTTTGAAGATTTAGTTGATTTCTTTGACAATAAATTAATTTATACATTATCCTCTTTTTTTTTAGCAGTGTCAAAATACCTTTTCATTTTCAAAAAAGACTTAGTTGATTCTTTAACAACAAAGAGAATTATTTACATGAAATTAAATTGTTTTAAAAAAAATTGTAATAGTAGATTGTTATAGTATTTCTTTTATAAAACAAAGAAGGCTGATTTTTTTGGCAGTGGAAAGTATTCACGTTTTTGAAGATTTAGTTGATTTCTTTGACAATAAATTAATTTATACATTATCCTCTTTTTTTTTAGCAGTGTCAAAATACCTTTTCATTTTCAAAAAAGACTTAGTTGATTCTTTAACAACAAAGAGAATTATTTACACGAAATTAAATTGTTTTAAAAAAAATTGTAATAGTATATTGTTATAGTATTTCTTTTATACAAGAAATTGTTTATATAAAGAGAGAAAAATCTCAGATGAAATTTTAATATTAATCAATAAATAAAAATCATTTATCATTTATCATCATTTTGTCATTTACCTTGTTATAATTTTTTTTTAATTGGTAATATTATCAATATCTCGGTACTATTTATATATTTAAAATGCCACCAGAAAAGAGAACTAAAGGAAGTGATGATGAAGAAAAAATTAAGAAAAGAAAGAGTTTAACTTTTTTGGAGAAGAAAGAAGTATGTGAATGGAAAAGAGATCATCCATCATATAATTTAGATGAAATTGCAAAAAAATTTGGAATATCAAAATCACAAGCTGGTAATATAATAAAAGAGAAGGATAAATGGACATCTATTAATACCTCAAATGTAAAATCTAGCAATTTAAAAAGAGAAAGAGGTGCTAAATTTCCTGAGGTTGAAGCTGCATTGTATTTATGGATGAGTCAAGCTTTGGCATCAAATTTAGCTATTAGTGGAGACATATTAAAAAGCAAAGCAACACATTTTGCTGAGAGATTACAAGTAACAAGTTTTGGTGGATCAGATGGGTGGTTAACAAAATTTAAAGCACGCTATAACATAAAACAATATAATAAAGCAGGTGAGGCAAATAGTGCACCTTTGGAAACACTAAATGATGAAAGAGCAATTTTACGAGAAGTTATTGGGGAATATGATCTTTGTGATGTCTATAATATTGATGAAACTGGTAATTGTATAAATATAGCCAAATTTATTTGAATTGAAATTCTTACTAAAGTATATATAACTTTTTTAAAAATACTTAGCTTTATTTTGGAGTTTAGAGCCATCTAAAACTCTTTCTGATCATTTAATTTCTGGTACTAAAAAATCCAAAAACCGCATCACTATTGCTTTAACATGTAATGCTGATGGTAGTCATAAATTACCCCCATTAGTTATACATAAATACAAAACACCAAGAGTTCTTAAAGGAATCAATAAGGATGATTTGCCAGTTTGGTATTATTGGAACCGAACTGCTTGGATGCAGGCATCAGTATGGTATAATTATCTTGAAAAGGTTAATAAAATGATGAGACAACAAAATCAAAATATTTTATTATTAGCAGATAATGCTCCAACCCATATAATAAATGAAAATTTACCTTTATCAAACATTAAATTACATTTCCTTCCTCCGAACACCACATCCCACTTGCAACCTTTGGATGCAGGAATCATTAATAGCTTCAAGGTAAGGAGCAAAAAAAAATTTTGAATGTTTTATTAATTTTCGAAATTTTGAATTTTATTTAACTTACTTTTAATCTTAGGCTCAATATAGAAAGATTTTGGTGGAAAATAGGATAAAAGAATATGAAAATGCAAAAGAAGAAAATGTAAAGATAAAAGAAGTTGATATCCTTGATGCAATAAATTTTGTAAGTGAAGCATGGACAAATGTAAAATCAAGCACGATTGTAAATTGTTGGAGAAAAACAAAAATCCTACCTAATGCTGAAGAAGCAATAAATTTAAATCAAATTTCTTCTGTTGAAATTTCTGAACTACAAAATTCAATTGATGCACTAAACCTGGAAGATCCAATCACTGCAGACCGTTTTATTTACATCGATGATGAAGCACCAATACAAGAACTAACTGATGAAGAAATTATTAGAGCAGTGGAGCCAAATCCTGAGGTTGATGATTCTGATAATGAGGAAGAGGTGGAAACGGTGGTTATTTCTGATAAAGAGGCATTAAATAATTTAGAAAAAGTGATTCAATATTTAAAAAATCCACCAGATAATTTTACAATTAGTTATCAAGAATTAAAAATGATTAATAATTTAAAATCAAAAATTCATAAACATGTTCGGGATAATGCAAAACAACTTACATTAGACAGTTTTATTTCATAATTAATTACTACGTATATATTGATATGTGAATTTATTTGTGTTACTAATAAAAAATTGATCTCTCGTTATAAGGGACTTTTCAATTTATTTATAATAAGTCCACTATAAAGAGATTTTTCGTTATAGTGGAAATTCGTTATATTGGACAAAAAATGCCCGGAACCGAGTGTCCACTATAATGAGCTTTGACTGTATAGAAGTCACTTTCTGTCCTATCTTTTAAAAAATAGCATTATTAGTTGATAGAATAGGTCTTTAATTTTAATTAATAAAATTTATTTTTTGTAAATGTTAATTTACAATATATATACCTCTGTATACTGTTATAAGATTTCATTTCCAAATCAGATCAATATTTTGTTGTCTACTGCTTGATTCTGCAGGAGACTTTGGAAATATTCCTTCTCCTTACCTTTCCTTGAAGGAGTAGATTGTTTGATAATATCAATAGGCTTTTTGAAAGATTTTAATACTTCACCCAAACCAAGGCATGTTAGTTGCCAAATAAATAGTCTCCCACTATGCTTGTTATGAATTTCTTCTATGATAGGGGATTGGATTTCTGGTTGAGTTGGTGCTTGCTCTGGAACTATATTGTCAACCCCACTGAGCTTTTCTCAAATTCCACTAATGATAGAACCAATGTGTGTGAATATACCAGATATCATTTTTTTAAAAATATATCATAAAATTTTGTCTAAATCAGAAATTTGGTACAAGATTCAAAATATGGTCTCTATATAAAAGAAAAATAAATAATTTATAGCCTTGATGATTATGGAATAGTGTTCCATGTCACAATCCAAAAAAGGAAACAAAATGGTCATAAAGGTGGTTGCGACCAGCAGTTACAATCATTTTTATATGATGCAAAGATGGTAGCAACCATCATCAAAAATTGCAGCCAGTATCCTTAATAATACATTAATCCTTAAGTAGCTTTCAAATCTTTCTATTTTGTAATTGATTTGAATCATTATTAATCAATATAAGTATTCTAAATTTCTCATCCCAGTCCATAAATAATTGCTTGGATTCATTGTCTTCACACTCATAAACATTAACACCAAGATAATTATAAGGGATTTTATTCCATGCTTTATTACAATTAATCTCAGCTTCAAAACCTTCACAAATTTCTTTAAGATTTTTATATATCCTAATATATACAGTACATCTAACCTATCAAGATTTAGATATCTTATAAATCTATTCAATTTATTGATCCTTTTTAATCTTAACCATTCCATTATTTCATCTATCTATATATAATTGTCATCTTCCCTCTTTATATCATGTTTTGCTTACTAACATTACATTTGCAATTTTTATTGATCTTTATTTGCTTTATAATTTTACCAATCAGTTCTGGTGGTAATTCAAACACTGGGGCATTAAAATCTACATACTTGATTTCTTCTCTGACCCTACTATATCTCCAGCCTCAAACGGGCATTTGCTGTCATCTAGATTAGCAAGTGCTTTGACTATATAGTTAGGGAAACTGGAAAAGTACAGGGTACAGGAAATTTTTGTTGATCCCTGTACCCTGTACTTTTCTAGCGTCCCTATAGTTAAAAGTTTGGTAATATATGATAACATTTTTGTTTTATTTTATATAGATTGCAGGAATCTTTAATTTGAAAAATTTTATTAATTATTTTGGTATCAATTGCTCCACTTTGCTTTGCAGATTGTTTTCTCTTTGTTCTCTACCTATTTGTTAACTGGAATTTTGTTTGGTTCTTTGACTACCTGCTTCATGTCCCTTGTTAACTATTATTATTTCTAGTTTCATTAACTGACATGTTATGCATGTCAACTTGCTTCCCTGTTAAATATCATTATTTCTAGTTTTGTTAACCAAGATGCTACACATGTCAGCTTGCCTTGCTCACTTGCCTGTTAACTAATTTGATTTCAGGTATTTGGTTTATAAATACTATGATGAATTTTTGTTTCTTTGATGTGGACTGAAACATGAATTACACCACATTTCTATGTGGCTAGAAACCAAAATAGTATACTTGTGAGACAGAACATTATTATATCAAAACTGATGTGAAATGGGTCTCTGGAACACCTTGTGAACATAATCTGGATAAAAAATGATAAATTGTCTCAGAAAAATCGAGTTTTGTCCCAGAAACCTCAATAAATAGCTACAGCTGCTGCAGATTTTATTTTACACATAATTTCATTGTAAATGAATGGCTGAATAATTGAATTCATCAATTAAAATTCAAAAAATTCAGTTGCTGCAGATCACAAAAAAAATTTTTACATGACTAATATGACTAATAATACTATGACAGTGATTGAAAACTATTCACAGCAGTTGTACTTATTTGCAGTAGTTATATCTATTTGCAGCAATCATAGTTATTTACAGCAGCCATATCTATTTATGGCAACTACTCTATTTGCAGCAGCCATATCTATTTGCAACAGCTGTAATTATTTACAGCAAATAGTAGCTACCAACAGCTATTTATAGCAATGGCAGTTACAGTTCAATCATTTACAGCAAGTTTCTTTAGTTTATATTATATATGCAACCCAAAGTATTTTGACAGTCACAAAGGGGTTACACATGTCATAAAGGAGTGTTACACTTATGTTTTTAATAGTGAGTGCTGTAATTAATTTCATCAAACCAATTTGGGCTGCATGTATAGTCTATATTCTCATCTACAACACTGCATTAATAATTTTTCTTCCAAAAAAAATAGATCTATGGTAAATGGTCTGGTAGTGTACAATCAAAAAAGAATTGTTATGGACCTATTATTAAATTATATTATTATTTGATGTTAATAAATAAAAATTTATGAAAGTAGAAATTATTTCAAATCAATGTTTTTCTTTTATTTCTCTTTAATTGTTTTTATTAAGGTTTCTGGTCCAAACTGTTTTCTCAAAGCCCAAACTGGTTTGGGCAATTTGGGCTTCTCGGCATTTTTTTATAAACATGAATATTAAAAAACTATACCAATCAACTTATTTTAACTTAAACAACTTTAAAGTAATTTCACCCAATTTTGGCTAATAACAAAAAATAGTTTGGGCTTATAAAAAATCAATTTTTGCCCAAAGTGTTTTGGCAATTTCAGCTATTAATAAAGGGAGTTTCAGCCAGAAACCTTAGTTTTTTATAAATGATAATATTTTTTATTAATAAATACCAATACATTTTGTTAAATCTATTAATGGGACATGGGATTAGGGATTAGGGATGGGGTGGTTCCAAGTGGTTCCAAGTAAATTGCTAATTCTAGAGCTATTTTTTCCTTATAAGATACTAATCAAATTGTTTACAGTAATGATTCAATATGAGTTACTTGTTGTAGATAAGTAACAAAATTTTTTGAGTATCCAGAATCTTCAAAATTTATAGGAATTTTGAAACCTTAATTTGGACCAATCTCAAATAACCAAATTGCTATTTTTGGAGATGATTTCTGGTGAGAAACTATTAATAGAATTTATTAAAGGTATTACTTATTATAGTTAAGCAGTTAGATTTTTCTATAATTAGCAATTTACTTGGAACTGGCTGGAGCTAATCTGGAAACATCCCATCCCTAGATGGGATTGAAGGGGGATGGGTTTTAAGGATTTGAGTATAGGCAACAAGCAATCTTGGTTACAATCCCCATGTTACAGATTTATATTATCTAAAAATCAACTTCAGTCAATACCTGGTTTTTGCTAAAAATCCCCCATATAAAAGCCTGGAAATAAATAAACAATCACAAGGTTTTATAATCCAATCTGTTGACAATCTAGGGAGGATATTAAATAATTACCTCATTAAAAAATTCACCAGAATGCAAGCTGGACATTCTTTAATTCTTTTGTTTGATTGACTTTTCATTTTATTTACTATATTAAATTAGGAGTGTGTGAATATCATTTTATAGGTATAAATGTATTCCAAATTGGTTTGGTGATTTTGATGGTAGAAAGTAGAAATTAATTACAGCACTAACAAACATAAGTGTAATACCCCTTTACAACATGTGTAGCCCCTTTTATGACAGTGTCAAAATACTTTGGCTAAATTCCAAGAATAAAACAATTGAAAACACGTGATTTTAGTGAAAAATCATTGTTTTCAGTGATTGGAGACTTTTCAAAAACATTTGAGAATTTTATGAGTAAGAAACTCATGTAACATTTTTACTATTGGGAATAATTAATTTAATATCATATGTTATTATTTATTTTTTCAATTTGTTAGTTATTGCGACAGCAGCCTTAGATCCATTTGGTCTATTCAAGTATTCAGAAATGTAATTACCAACATCAACTAATTTGTTTAAATCAACACCAGTTATATATCCCATTCCTCCAAGCATGTACACTACATCTTCAGTAGCAACATTACCTGTTGCTCCTTTAGCAAAAGGACAACCGCCTTTATGTGGAATGAAATTAATAAAAAGAAGAAACTAGTTTAATTGAAATTTTTTTAAAAAAAAATAATAATGATTTTACCTAATCCTGCAGCAGAACTATCAATGATCCTTACACCATTCTAATTTTGTTTATAAAACTCAAAAATTGTTTTTGAGTGATTTTTTTAAAAATAAAAAACTTTTAAAACTTTAAAACCAAACAAACCTCTATAGCACAACATATATTAGCAAGGGCTTGACCATAAGTATCATGACAATGTACTGCAATTTTTCCAATTGGTACATGATGTTTTACACTTTCCAACAGTTTTAACATTGAACCTTTTTTAAACATTAAATGAATAAGGTGAATAAATAGATCTTTTGAAATCAGCATAATAGATATATGATGTAAGTTAATTTACCAGGAGTTCCAACACCTATTGTATCTGCTAATGATATTTCGTAACACCCCATTTTATAAAATTTTTCAGCAATCTTTGCTACAGTCAAAGGTAACACTTCACCTTCATAAGGACATCCTAAAGCACAAGAAATATAACTAACACATACGTATATAGATATATATAATTGATTAATTTTATGAATTTAAACACAAAAATCATTGGTAAATAGTTAAATAAATACCCTCTAACCACAATTCCTTCTGCATTAGCCTGATTAACCACATCATTATAACTTTCTAGACTTTCTTTAATTGAGCAATTAATATTTTTTTTACAAAAAGTTTCTGATGCAGCACTAAATATTGCAATATTGTTAACACCAGCAGCAATTGCATTTTTAAATCCATAAAGATTAGGTGTTAAAGCAACATATTCTACACCAGGTTCACGTTTAATTTTTGTCATTATTTCATATGCATCACCCATCTATATAATTGAATCATGATTAATGATGCATGTGATTAATTTTGATCCGAAAGGGAATTTATCAAAATCAATAATGATAAACAATGAGAATTACAATGGTTATAATACCTGTGGTACCCATTTTTTTGATACAAAAGAGGTAGCCTCTATTGCTTTAAGACCAGTTTTAGATAATTGATTGATGAAATTTATTTTTATATCTTCTGGTATGATTTGCTTTTCATTCTGTAGTCCATCTCGAGGACCAACCTCCACTATTTTAACCTTATCTGGACCAGTATGTGGGCCCCATTCCTAATTTTATTCCAATAAAGAAACAAACAATTATTTACACATGTTTGTTTGATTGATTAATGATAACAGTAATGTTTTATGATTTATTGATGGGTATACTTGGCTATATTTTGAATATTTTGATTGTAAAGATCGTGTAGTAGTAGTAAAGGAATTGAATTTGAGTTTCGCATTTGGTAAAAAAAAGGTTTTGGTTAAGGATTGTCTAACAATTTTATTTAAAATCATTGAAAGGTTTTTTTGATGAATGCCACGTGAGACAAAATTTTTTGATGATTTGAGTCCCTGCACAAAGCACAAAACTGCAATTAATTATTATTACCCTTGAAATAATGTAATAAATACGTGGCTTTATATCCAACATATTGTTTTGAAAATTATTAAATTATTTAAATTTCAAAATCTTACATATAATTTTTTTATTAAAATATAAATAAAAAATAACGCTAGATGGAAAGCAATTTATTGATTGCATATGCTGCCTTAGGCACCATGGCAGTTGTGCCGATTTACTATGGATCATTTGCTTCAGTAAAATGGCCTAAAAAGGTTGAAATGATAAAAGTGATTTTTCCGTGAATTTTTAGCTTTGTCTTGATTTACTTTACTTACTGGTTATTATAAATATTTACATAAATATAGAAAAAAACTGAATGTGCCAAGTTTGATCATGAGGCAGAATCTTCTGATGAAGAGGATTCTTCAACCGAATCTTTATCAACGGAAGATGCTTATCTTTTTCCAATAATTGGATCCGTGGTGCTCTTTTCATTATACCTAGTTTTTAAATTATTGAACAAGGATTATGTGAATTATCTTGTTACCGGATACTTTGCCTTTTTAGGCGTTATCGCTGTAACAAATGTTGGCGTGTATATTGTTAAGAACGTAATTGGACTTAAAGTTGACTCTTATAAAATTAGATTAACCAAAAAAGCTGAAGGTATATATGTATATATTGATAATCGATCAATTGGATCAAGCCATTGCTTTATTATTATTAGTTTTATTAATTGATTTACAAATGTTTTATCTAATTAATCATTATAACTAACCATTGTATATTATTTTCCGAAATGATAATAATGATGATGATAGAAAAATATCATGTAAATTTTACAATTATACACATAATAATGTTTATTTTTGCATTATTATTAACTGGAGCCTACGTGATGACAAAAAATTGGATCGTTTCAAATATTTTTGGTTTAGCATTTGCATTCAATGCAATCCAAATGCTTTCGTTGGATTCGTTTAAAACTGGAATGATCTTGTTGAGTGGATTGTTTTTCTATGATATATTTTGGGTATTCGGTACTGAGGTGATGATTACTGTAGCTAAAAGTTTTGATGCGCCAATTAAAGTAGTTTGGCCCAAACAATTGCTTGGATTACAACCAAATGAAGCTTTACAATTTACCATGTTAGGGTTAGGAGATATTGTCATTCCTGGTAATTTATCAAAAAAAAAATAATTTTGTTTATTTAATTTATTTATTTTATAATGATTTATTTGTTAATTTACATCATTGATTTTAATTTTTTTTTTTAATAAAGGAATTTATGTTGCACTTTGTCTTCGATTTGATCACAATCTACATTTAAAACGTAACCCCACAGCTAAAAAATATTCCAAATTTTCAACACCGTATTTCAACAGTTGTTTTACTTCTTATATCTTGGGCCTTATAACCACCATTGTAGTTATGCATACTTTCAAAGCAGCACAACCTGCTTTGCTTTACCTTTCACCAGCTTGTATAATTTCGGTGCTTGTAACAGGATTATTTAAAAGTCAAATACGCGAGATTTTTACCTATTCAACTGACGATCCTGAAAAGAAAGACAAAAAAAAGGATGACGATGTAGATGCTGATGGTGATAAGAAAGAACAAGTATATAGCGAAGATGATGATGGTGATAATGAGGCGGTGAAGAATGAACAACAACAAACAGTCAGAAAACGCACTAGTGATAAAAAAATTAGTAATAGTGAAGACGACGATGATGATACAACCAACAACATTATATCTAGAACCAACGTTATCACTACTACCGAAATAAAAGTTGAAGATGATTCGATAGTGGAAGAAGTTCTTTCGTTAAAAAAGAAAAAAAGTAAGAAAAGCAAGTCAAAGAAATAAAAATGTGCGATAGATTTTTGTGAATAAATTAAAAATCAAAAATTTTTATTGTTTTTATATTTATGTATGATTCTTATTTTTTTAAGCAATAATAAATCGAAAACCAAAAATAAAAAAATAGATTTTAGATTTATTCTTGAATAAAATATATAAAATAGCATTTTTAAATTTTTTTTCTTTTATTTCTATTTTTACAAATAATCATTATAACAATATACAACGACAATAAATAAATATATTAATATGTAAAAATAAACAACGTTTTAATTTAAATACTAATAATAATAAAGTAATAAAAATTACATATATATAGTGTAAAAATTTTCAAAGAAAACCATTTGACCAAATACAAACTATTCTTTCTTTATCAGCACTATAAACTTGCCCACCCAATGGGTTCCATGATACACCATACACCGGCACTCTTTATATTTAATAGATCTTTATTAGCATTGTTATAAAAGGCAAAAAAAGAAATGGCAATTAAAAACAATAAAAAATCTTACATATGCTCCTTTATATTTTGTTCTAATTGTGATTTATAAGTGTTCCAATAAAATATTCCTCCATCTAAGAATAAAATAAGTTATTTTAAATAAATAAAAGTAAAATAAGATAATTTGTTGTATAAAAATTTTTTTTTTTACCTATTGATCCAGCTACTATATATTTTCCATCTGGACTATTTATTTATTAAAAATTCGAGACGGTTAATATAAAGATCATTTTACTAATATAAATAAATATCTATCTCAATAAATACCTAAAACATGCCCTTGACCAATTAGATGAGGATTTGTATTCGTTATCACTTTTGCGATTTTAAAGAAAAGGATAAATATTCATCATTAAATTTTATTAAATTTTAAAAGAAAGAAATGATATAAAAATAAAATAATACAAACGAAAATGTTTGTTCAACTGCATATTTTCTTAAATCAATCAATTTCAATGTATTGTCTTTGGAATTGGTCAGCACCTTTGAGCCATCTAAATATCAATCCATTAATAGATAAGCAAAATAGTTGCATGTAAATAAGTTTTATAAATGTTGTAAACATTAGAAATAAGAATTTATCTTATTTACCAGGAGAAACTGAGACAGATGTGATTTGTCCCATATGAATATCGGTTATTTCTTTAATATCTTTACCAGACCTTGAATCCCAAAATCTTAAATTGTTATCCATATGACCGCTTACAAGTGTCGTACTATTATTAAAAAATATAAATTATTATTCAACAAGAATAACAACATTATTATTATCATCATTATTATTACCCTGTACCATCCAATAATGCTACATCGTTACAACTAGAAAATGAGAATATTGTCCTGATACCTAATAATTTAATAAAAAAATAAGCATTCTTAAAAATTTCATAATAATAATAATTATTATTATTATTATTATTACTACTCTACTTACTATAACCCTTTTGTATATCCCAAATTTTTATAGTCCTATCATGACTGCCAGTAATCTATTAAATTTAAAATTTCAATATGAATGAATATATAGTAGTTTCAATAAATCAGATCAACAGATCAATAATTAATTACTTGCCACTCTTGTTGAATCACAATTGAATTTGGCAGAATACACTTTACCAATGTGCCCAGTTAAAGTGAGCTGAATAAATAATAGATGATCGTAATAAATAATCATAGATTTGAAATAATCATATATGTGTGTGTCTGCGTGTGCGTATACTTACTCTTGTCCTACCAGTTCTTAATAGCCATAATCTTGCTGAATTATCGTTTGACGCTCCAACAATCATTTCAGATGTATCATTAAATGAAACAGATGTAACGGATTGTGCAGACCCTGTTAGAGTTTGCCTGACGTTGCCTTTGTAAAATTAATATAAGGATTTATTTCTAACCAGTGGTAATATCATATACTTTTATTGTTTTGTCTGCACTTCCGGTTGCAAACAGTTTTCCATTTGGAGATGCTTGGATAGAATAAATTTCTCCATCATGAGCTTTCTATATATAGATATAGAGATATGTTTAATTTAATTCAATAAATAATAAATATTAGATATAAATATAAATATACGTACGAATTTTTTAAAAACAGTCATAGGTATTGTTATAGAACCAGTAGCTTTTCCTTTTGTTCTTTAAATCCACACGCCGAAATAAAAATCAAATTATTTAATAACTATCATTTACTGTAATATATATATATATGAACATTAAAGTCAAAATACCTTTGAGAATTGTCTTCATTTTCAACTAATTTTCCAGATTTCGATACAGGATTATTGCTAAAATAATCTTTTTCAATTACGACAATATCATTTGGTAATTCTAAATCTTTAGATTGTGCTTCGGCTATTATACTATTAAGAAATGAGAAAATAGTCTTAAAATTAACAAATAGTTATTATTAATAAAATCTCTCAAAATAAGACTAAATATTTATAGTTATAGTTTTTTTTTTCATCATATTAAAATATTTATTTATTCATGTGTTAATTACGTTTCATAAAAAGAG